AAAGCAGCACTTCTCTTCCCTCAGTAGTTATAAAAGACCTCAAACCCAAATTCTTGTAGCACTGGATGACAAGTGAGATACAGACAGTTGAAGCAGAGGAAATGGTTTTGGGTGTGTGCTTTCAGCTTTCTCTGGTGAGCAGGTTGGGCTGGAGGTTTGAGGACTATGGCCTGGGCTGCTTTTGTTGCTCAGGGAGGCAGAGGCTGCCTCAGCAATGAAGACAACTCAAGGTGGGCTCTGATAAGATTTTAATTTGATGTTCAGCAACGCCCATATCACATTATGTTCCATTTTACAAAATGTATCATGGATATTGTTGGTAAGTACTGTTCAGTATGACCCTCTGTACAACATACCTGAACCCTGTCCTATCCTGTACCATCCTCATCATCTCTGACACACTTGATCCCATTGTCACTGTGCAGTCACTGTGTCAGTCCATTTCACTGAGGAGTCTTCCTCTCCTTTGCTGACCCATCTTTTACCATTCCAGGCATGATTTCACTTTCTAAGGAATGTCACTTTGCTAGCAACATGGCCAAAATATGTGAGCTGAAACTTTGCCATTTTTGCCTCTTAGGAGCACTCTGGCTGCACTTTTCCAAGACATAGCTGTTTGTTCTTTTAGTAGTCAGTCCATGGGATATTCATTATTCTTCTACAACACTACAGCTTAAAGACATCATTTATTTTTCTTTCATACATTGTCCTGCTCTAAGATGCATAGCAAATGATTATAAAGACCATGGCCTGAATGTGGTACACTTTTATTTTTAATCTGACATCATTCATTGCTCTTCTTATTTTGTAGAGGTCCCAGACAGCGGGCATACTCAGTACAATACATCTCCTGATCTGACTGCTGATACCAAGGGTGTTGATTATTGAGCTGAGCAAGATGAAATCACTGACAACATCAGTTCTTTATCCATCTATAGTAATGTTGCCTCGTGGTCCAGTAGTGAAGCCATTTGCTTTCTTGAGGTCAAGATATAATCCATATTGAAGGCTATAATAGCCTTTGATTTTCTGCAGCAAGCATTTCAAGTCTTCCTCACTTTGAGCATGCAAGTTGTGTGAACTGCATAACACAGGTTTTTTTTGAGTCTCTCTGATCCTGATACTACATTCTTTGTCATAGATTCCAGCTTCATGCATTATTTGTTCAGTATACAGATTGAATAGATATGGAGAAAGGATAAACCCTAACGTACACCCCTCCCTGATTTTAAACCATGCAGTGTTCCCGTGCTCCATTTGGACAGCAAGTACTTGATTTAGGTATAGATTTTGTAAGAGCACAATTAAGTGTTCTGGGATTCCCATTCTTTGCAATAATAGCTATAGTTAGTTATTATTACATAGTTGGTTACCAGCCAATTAACACTAATGTAGTACTATAAAATTTATGTATTTCAGTTTTATTGTTTTATCCCAAAATGTCTTTTTAAAAAAAATAGCTTTAATAAGGTATAATAGATGTCATTTGTTTAAAATGTTCTTTAGTTATCCATAGGGTTCTTAGATGCATACATTGCCACATATTCATCTGAAAATTGGACAGTGAATAAAGAAGACTGAAGAAGAATCGATGCCTTTGAATTGTGGTGTTGGGAGAAGAGTATTGAATAGATCATGAACTGCCAAAAGAACAAACCAACCTGTTTTGGAGCAGGTATAACCAGAGTGTTCCTTAGAGGCAAGGATGGTGAAACTTTGACTGACGTTGGGTGTGTTGTCAGGCAGGGCATTCCTTGGAAAAGAACATCATATGGGGAAAGGTAAAGAGAGGGTCAGCAAAAGAGAGGAAGACCTTCTTGATGGGTTGACACAGTGACTACAATAATGAACTTGAGTATGTCAGATAGTAAAGATGGTGCAGGATAGGGTGAGGTTCACTTCCATTGTTCATAGGGTCATTTTGGTTTGTATTTGACTTGATGGCACTTAATAACAACAACATTTAAAATGTATATATGATAAATTCTGACATAGATACACACTTAAGAAGCTATTACTGCAATCAAGATAATAAACATTCATCACCTTTAAAAGTTTTTTAGTACCTGTATGAGACTGTTCCACCCATCCCCAGACAGACATGGTCACTATAAATTAATTTCCTCTTCTACAGTTTTGAAATAATTTTTCTGCACTCCTTTTTTAAAAGAAGTCCTTATAATTATTTTGAGATTATCCATTGCACTTAGTGTTTCATAGTTTCTTTTTATTTTTTCATAGTACTTCTCAGCTTGAAATGCGGAGTAATATTTCGTTCTGTGGATAAACCACAATTAATTCACCAATTGTTCATTCACTATTGATGGGTCTTTTGATGATTATGAATAAAGTTGCAAACATTCCCATAAAGATCTTTTTATAGACATAGGTCTTCATGTCTCTTGATTTTCTATTTAAGAATGGGCTTGCTGTGTCATAGGTTGTTTGTAGCTGCCAGCTAGTTAACCTCCTCACCTCTGAATCATAGCAACCCTGTAACAACATCCTCACATCTCCACGTTGCTTACGCCTCTTTTAGTCACCGTGTCATTTCGTCTTAAGAGTTTTCCCTCAGAGCATGATGTTCTTTTCCAAGGACTGGCCCTTCCTGATAATGTGCCTGGTAATTGTGAGGAGCAGTGTCACCATCCTAACTTCTAAGAATTCTGGCTGCACTTCTTCCAAAACAGATTTGTTTGTTCTTTTGAAAATCCATGGGATAGTCCGTCTTCTTCACTAACACCTCAGTTGAAAGACCTCAATTCTGCTTTGGTCCAACTTTTACAAGTATGTGTAGCAATTGAAAATACAGTGTTATTTTTAATCATGCAGAAATGTTTAATTTTTTGATTGAAATCTATCACTCTTTTACTGTATCTGTTTTCAGTTTTTTCCTTACACCCTCCTACTAAAGAAATGCAGAGAATTTTTAATTTTTTAAATTTAGATCTCTGATCTATTTGGAGTTGATCTCTGTATACATATCTAGTTTTATCTTTTTTAAAATTCCTGTATAGAGTTACT